AATCTAAACTAGATGCCCTCAATCTCACACAAATTATCAAGGAACCTACCAGGTACAACCCTAAATCCGTAAACATGGGCACCCTCATAGATATCATCCTGACTAATTTACCCTCTAAATAGTCCCGTGTAGCTCAGTTGGTAGAGCATGGCGTTTGCAATGCCAGGGTTGTGGGATCGATTCCCACGGGGGGCCAGTATGAAAATGTATGCACTCACTAACTGTAAGTTGCTCTGGATAAGAGCGTCTGCTAAATGACTTAAATGTAAATACACCTCCGCTGTCTTCAACCAGGATCTCAGCGATCACTGCCTCATTGCCTGCGTCCGTAATGGGTCCGCAGTCAAACGACCACCCCTCATCACTGTCAAACGCTCCCTAAAACACTTCAGCGAGCAGGCCTTTCTAATTGACCTGGCCCAGGTATCCTGGATGGATATTGACCTCATTCCGTCAGTAGAGGATGCCTGGATGTTCTTCAAAAGTGCTTTCCTCTCCATCTTAAATAAGCATGCCCCATTCAAAAAATTCAGAACTAAGAACCGATATAGCCCCTGGTTCACCCCAGACTTGACTGCCCTTGACCAGCACAAAAACATCCTGTGGCATACTGAATTAGCATCGAACAGCCCCCGCGATATGCAACTTTTCAGGGAAGTCAGGAACCAATATACACAATCAGTTAGGACAGCAAAGGCTAGCTTTTTCAAACAGAAATGTGCATCCTGTAGCACTAACTCCAAAAAGTTTTGGGACACTGTAAAGTCCATGGAGAATAAGAGCACCATCTCCCAGCTACCCACTGCACTGAAGCTAGGAAACACTATCACCACCGATAAATCTACGATAATCGAGAATTTTGCTACGGCTGGCCATGCTTTCCACCTGGCTACCCCTACCCCGGCCACCAGCTCTGCACCCTCTGCAACTTGCTCATGCCCCCCCCCGCTCAGATAGCTGATGTCCTGAAAGAGCTGCTAAATCTGGACCCCTACAAATCATCTGGGCTAGACAATCTGGACCCTTTCTTTCTAAGATTAGCCGCAGAAATTGTCGCAACCCCTATTACTAGCCTGTTCAACCTCTCTTTCGTATCGTCTGAGATCCCCAGAGATTAGAAATCTGCCGCGGTCATCCCCCTCTTCAAAGGGGGTGACACTCTAGAGCCAAACTGTTACAGACCTATATCCATCCTGCCCTGCCTTTCGAAAGTTTTTGAAAGCCAAGTTAACAAACAGATCACCGACTATTTCGAATCCCACCGTACTTTCTCCGCTATGCAATCTGGTTTCCGAGCTGGACATGGGTGCACCTCAGCCACGCTCAAGGTCCTAAACGATATAATAACCGTGATCGATAAAAGACAGTACTGTGCAGCCGTCTTCATCGACTTGGTCAAGGCTTTTGACTCTGTCAATCACCGCATTCTTATTGGCAGACTAAATAGCCTTGGTTTCTCAAATGACTGCCTCGCCTGGTTCACCAACTACTTCTCAGATAGAGTTCAATGTGTCAAATCGGAGGGCCTGTTGTCTGGACCTCTGGCAGTCTCTATGGGGGTGCCACAGGGTTCAATTCTCGGGCCGACTCTATTCTCTTCATATTAGTCGCCAAACCCACTGGCTCCAGGTCATTTATAAATCACTTCTAGGCAAATCCCTGCCTTATCTTAGATCATTTGTCACCATAGCAACATCCACCCGTAGTATGCGTTCCAGCAGGTATATCTCACTGGTCATCCCCAAAGCCAACACCTCCTTTGGCCGCCATTCCTTCCAGTTCTCTGCTGCAAATGACTGGAACAAACTGCAAAAATCTCTGAAGCTGGAGACACTTATCTCCCTCACTAACTTTAAGCATCAGTTGTCAGAGCAGCTTATCGATCACTGCACGTGTACACAGCCCATCTGTAATTAGCCCACCCAACTACCTCATCCCCATATTGTTATTTACATTGTTATTTATTTTGCTCATTTGCACCCCAGTATCTCTATTTGCACATCATCTTCTGCACATCCATCACTCCAGTGTTAATACTAAATTGTAATTATTTTGCACTATGGCCTATTTATTGCCTTACCTCCATAACTTACTACATTTGCACACACTGTATATAGATTTTCTATTGTGTTATTGACTGTACGTTTTGTTTATTCCATATGTAACTCTGTGTTGTTGTTGTTTTTATCGCACTGCTTTGCTTTGTCTTGGCCAGGTCGCAGTTGTAAATGAGAACTTGTTCTCAACTGGCTTACCTGGTTAAATAAAGGTGAAATAAAAATAAATAAAAAAGTAGTTATTTTTGATAGCTAATTAGCATTTTATTTTTGTGGGGGTAAATTCAGGCTAATATATTGATAAAAGTCACCTTATCCTAGAGAGATTTAGTTGGTTATCAAAACGTCACGCCAGGGTAAGCCTACATGAAACACAGCCCTTATTTTAAGTGATTTCTAAAATCCCCTATGGGAAAAATGAATGGTGGAAAAACGATTGGAACCATTTCCTTGTTTGACCGCTAGGTTTTATGGGTATTATGACCCATACTGTTGTACTCTATGAATTCATACCTCAGAATAGTAGGCTGATACAGTCAGATATTGGACATGGGAGTGCTGGAGAGGGTGGAGGGCCAGGAAAGAAGTAAGGTAATGTGGTGTGGGGATTTTAACGCCCACAACACGCTTTGGGGGGGGGAGCTGGAGACACTTATCTCCCTCACTAACTTTAAGCATCAGTTGTCAGAGCAGCTTACCGATCACTGCACCTGTACACAGCCCATACTACGCATACTACGGGTGGGTGTAGAACTTCATTAGATATAGTCTCAAATATTTTGTTATCTTTTTTAAGAGCAACGGGGCTGGCAGGTAGGATTGTTTCTCCCTGTCTCAGGCCCACACTCCAGTACAGTAGGTGGCGGTAATGCACCATAACGTTGGATGCCAACCGCCGATAAACCCCACTGAAGAAGAAGAAGAAGAAGAAGAAGAAGAAGAAGAAGAAGAAGAAGAAGAAGAAGAAGAAGAAGTAGGCTGATACATAGGCAATACAGTAGGTGGCAGCATGCACCTATAACATTTGTTTGTGGACCGTCAAAATACCAAAGAAGATGATGATAATGATGATGATGATGATGAAGAAGAAGAATGGGTAGGTGACAAGCGTAGCACCTTCTCAGGTCCTAGAGCCTGAGAAGGTAGATATGGAGAACTAAAAGAAGGAAGAAGTTGGAGTTTTGTTTGTTTTGGCATTGTACTATTTTTATTAGGGTGGATTGTTATAATCACTATTAAGTATGGATTTATTTATTTTAATTTTAATTTTGGTTTCAAACCGTCCAGTTGGTGGCGGTAATACAACTTTTGGATGTAGTCCGCCATAAAACCCACAGAAGAAGAAGAAAAAGACGGTAGGTAGGTGGCGAGTATGTGCTGTGTTGTTTTTGGTTGCGGTTTTGTGCGAATTCTGCGTTGAGCGGCGGCGGAAGAGAGAGGTAATAACAGAGAGGTGCATATCTCTCGTAAGAATTTGGGATGGTGTTTGGGTTATCTAACCTGTTAGAAACGTAAATATTAATCATATATAAGCCCAAGTGCTGCAGTGGAACCATGAAGGGTTTGGTAGAATGACGTTATGGCTGCGATCATGTGTTTCGGCTTCAGGCAGAACCAGTGGACAAACAGCCAAGATGGAGCTGGAGGAGGTGCAGGACAAATTCTCCCTCTCTGAATGCGATAAGAGGTAGTATGCCTGAAGTACTTTAATATAAATTGCAAACATATTAAAATACTTTTCCCAAAGAACATGTCTTCCAAAAAATGACCAGTTTCAACCATTACGTCACATAAAATGCAAAAATGTGTTATTTGAAAGTCCTTTATCACAGAGGAAAAGCTGATTTTTGTCAACGATTGCCCAAAACAACAACAAGAAGGATACGTTTTGAATCGCTCACTTATAAAAGCAGATTAATCTATTTTAATATACCTTGCTGATTAAATACATTATTATTATTATTATGTTTTAGCCTTCCAAGGGTAGTCCTGTGAGCAAGATTTGATTTTTGTTCGCAGCTTGACTCCTATTGCTGCAAGCTACAAATCCAGTATGACTCCAGTCTTTGCTTTACATTCCCCTTCTCCACATTTGATTTTGCTCAATCTACTGGCATTTAGAAACACAGTTAATGAGTTGAGAACATGCATCGTATGATCAATTGTTTGCTCTGTGCTACAGTCTTGGGCTCCCACTTAATTTTTGTGAATTCATTTCCATTGTTTTTGTCTGAACTGCCTTCCAGGAAGAAGGCAATGCAACCTGAGAACAGCAGCGTTGTTCAAGATGATGATGGAAGGGAAGCAGGAGAAATGAATTCTGATGGAGATGGAACATTTCAGGGATGTGGCAGCTACGATTCATTTCTAGATTCCATCTTTGAAGAGGAGTTGGATCGACTTTTGGACCTGTGAGTTGAACGACTTCAACTATTACATTATTCAGAGTGGATAGCATTTTACGTTAAGTATCTACTCAGTACTGTTTGCTTAAATATCTTTAACGTTGTAACACCCATTTTACACATTTTGATCTTGAGTCATTTGCATATTTATTTATAAAAATTACTACCACTGATATTTATAGCTTGATAATTTTTAATGAATTATATATACCTATTGATTCTTGAAAAATAACACTAATGTCCGATGGGCTTAGTTGAACTGTATAAAATGTCTTTGTAAACAAACAATATAAAACGGGTTAGAAAACCTATCATATTGGCCTTATGGACTGTCAAGCTCTCCATTCAGTATTATTTGCCTAAATCTGTAATTGGATCAACAAACCCACCCTTTCTCTAAGTAAGTTGATAGAAGCCAGATTGCCACAATGATGCTGTTTATATGTATGGCACCACCTAAAACATTATATTCTTTCATTAATCATTTTTCAGAGATGGGAATGAAGAACCTCCTTATCTGACGGAACCTTCAGAGGCAATGGAGGCGGATGAATCCCCTCCCAATGGAACAGAGGTTAAAGAGACTAGAAGGGGAGATGACTTCACTCCCAATGGAACAGAAGTTAAAGAGACTAGAAGGGAAGATTACTTCACTCCCGACAGGACAGAAGTTAAAGAGACTAGAAGGGAAGATGACTCCCCTCCAATTATGACACGGCTCAGAGTAAGGGGTATCTCCTCTCGCCCTAAGATAGAGGCTTCAAAATCAAGTGAGGAAGATGGAGAAGACCTTCCCCCTAATACAGAAGTCATCGAGAGCAGGGCTTCAAAAATAACAAAATCCATCTCTAGCCCCAAAGCAGCACCTCAAAGGAAGGCCAGGCCTCCATCTTCTCCCCCCTGTACACCCAGCCCTGCCAAATCCAAAAACAGAGCTCATGCAGCCACACCTCTTATCAGTGGGTCAGAGAGGAAGTGGAGGACTGAGGATGAACCAGATCAAGAGCCTAAACTGTTCCCCTTCGAACCAGCTAGGACTCCAGGACCCCAGCTAGACACTTCAAAGAACTACACTGTTCTAGAGCTCTTCCAGCTCTTCTTCAGTAATGACGTTGTTGATACTCTCTGCTCAAACACCAACAAGAACGCCAAGAGAAGACAGGAACAGGGAATCAAAGAACCATGGAAACCTGTATCCGTGGAGGAAATGTACAACTACCTCAGCATTGTAATCTATATGGGTCTGCTGAATGTGCACACTGTATCAGACTACTGGAATCGAAACAGAATATATTGTCTTCCTTTTTGCCGTACAGTCATGACTATGACAAGATTTCGGGCAATCACCTATTCACTGCACATGAGTGACCCAGCAGAGGAGGAGGAAAACGATAAGAAGAAGGGGACTGCAGAGTACGACCAGCTAATGAGAATCAAACCTCTCAAAGACCAGATATTGGAGGCATGCAGGGCCTTCTACCACCCATTCCAGAACCTTTCCATTGATGAGCGCATGGTGCACTCCAAGGCCCGCCACAGCCTCAAACAATACATTAAATCCAAGCCCTACAGGTATGGATTCAAGCTGTATGTTTTAGCTGATTCACGAAATGGCTACACCTGCGACTTCAATGTGTTTATGACCAAAAACCTATCTGCTTCAGGCAAAGGGGAGAGCTATGATGTTGCCATGAACCTGTTGAAGGTGCCATACTTGGGCACAGGATACCACATTTATGTTGATAACTCCTTCACCAGCATATCTCTCTTCCGTGACCTGTACAAAAAGAAATTGGGAGCATGTGGAACCATACGTGAATTCCGTGTGGGCATCCGAGAGAACAGCATGCCTGCTCGAGCAGAGAAAGGAACCATCCGCTGGCTCCGTGACGGCGAGCTGCTCTTCACCAAGTGGATGGGCACACAACCAGTCACTATGTGTACCACCATTCATAAGGCCTTCGCAGGGGAGCAGGTCAAAAGCAGAAAACAGAGCAAAAATGGATCCTGGACAACACAGTACATACCCATCCCAGAGGCGATCAAGCCTTACAACAAATATATTGGGGGTGTGGACCTGTCTGATGCCCTGATCAAATGCTACAGTGTGGCCCACAAAACCATGAAGTGGTACAAAACCTTCTTCTTCCACTTTGTAGACATTGCTGTGGTGAACAGCTTCCTCCTGCAGAAGGACATGGCCCAGAAGAAGAAGAAAAAGCCCATGACCCACAAGCAGTTCAGGGAGCAGCTGTGCCTGCAGCTTGCTGACATTGGTAAGCAGGAGGAGGCTGAAGAAGAGTCGTCAGAAGAGGAGGAGGAAGAGGAAGAGGAACCAGAGGAAGAAGAGGAATTGGTGGAAGTGAAGCGACCATGCTACCCTGTACCCATAATGGATCCTACCACTGTTGATTCCTCTCGAAGAAAATCTAGTGGCAGGAAGAAATGTTGTCTGTGCAAGGAAAGCCAGACCAACTGGCAGTGTGAGTCCTGTCAGGTGGCACTCTGTATGATACCAGACAGGAACTGCTTCAGAGTTTGGCACATGAATAAAAAGGATCTCGTAGCAGAAGTTTTCAAGAGGCATATAAAGTATAACCCATACCCTACCCATCCTTGGATGGAATATGGGGGGGGAAAAATTGAGTTTAAGTCTCAAAAACAGGCACAGAGTTTCATTAAACGTCATTTTGGCTTGAGGAACAACAGGAAGTGAAACTATCTCGCTACCCTGTGCGCACTAACGATCCTACCGCTATTGACATCTCTCAAAGAGAAACCGTGGGCAGGAAGAACTGTTGTCTGTGCAAGACCAACTGGCAGTGTGAGTCCTGTCCAGGCGCTGCTCTGTATGATAGAAGACAGGAACTGCTTCCGGTTCCGAGGGTGGGATAAGGATAAAAAGAATGTCTCTGGCACAACTTTTCAGTAGCATCGATAATAAGTGGTCTCAAGTGTGATGATGATTGTTATTATGGTTAGGCCTATTATTTTTGTTATTGTTTTATTATTTTTGTTTATTCTATAAATATTTGTGCCCATGAATGATCCCAGCACTGTTAAAATCTCTCACAGATGTACTGTAGACATATGAAGTGTCATTTGTGCAATAATTAGTTAGTCTTGCCAGAAACTGCTTCAGAATATGGCATGTGATTAAAGACAATGAACAGGCTGATGCAATTATGTTTTTTTCATCCCTGGGCTATAAGCTTTCTGAAATAGGTCATAGAAGAGTATTATTCAACGTTGCAAGATTTTGCAAGTTCGTGGGAACATGATAGAAAAAATTATTAGATTCATATTGCCCCAAGCCTGTGTGCAAAGTATTCATACCCCTTCACTTATTCCACATTTTGTTTTCTGAATTCAAAATGGAGAAAACTTTTTTTTTTTTTTACATCATACCCATCCACACACTACCCTATAATGAATTTTAGAAATGTTTGAAAATTTAATTGAAAATGAAATACAGAAATATCTAATTTACATAAGTATTCAAACCCATGAATCAATACATGTTAGAATCACCTTTGGAAGTGGTTACAGCTGTGACTCTTCCTGGGTAAGTCTCAAAGGCCCCGATTCCAACCCGAGTTATGGGCGCGTAAACGGAATTCCCTTTTTCTGCACTTTTCTCTCTACGTGTATTCTGACCTTGAACTTAAGCATGAGGATAGCACGCTATTCACCTGCCATTCGTTCTGGGTGGAGATCAAATAAATGGAGGTGTGTCTACAGATACGCCGTATTCTGACCTTGACTTCATTCCCTCATAATTCCACCACCTTTACGCGAGAGGAAACCATGTTGAGCAAACCTGCCGGTTCCAAGTGAGAAAAGCATCTACAGCATTCTCCATATAATGTAATTTACAACGATAAGAGCTAGGTAAACGAGTAATCTGTTTGGATAAGGGAATTGTAAATATAAATGACACGTGTTTTAGATCTATTTTACCTTATAGTCGGTGGAGACAAATGTGAAACCAGTCATATGGCAGCAAACTGAAGCATATCAACATATCAACTTTCCCACAGTGAAGTTTATGAAATGCTGTGGCATTATGCAGAATTTTAATTGTATGGCCTTTTAACTTGCAGGGATGAGCACTCTCGAATGTCTTAATTATAGGCTACCCCGACTTTCTCTGTTTCCTATTTCTATCATGTTAAATATTAGCCCCTATCAGTATCGACCATCAGTAGGCCTAATAACCACACATATTCAACTGCCAATGTACTGTTAGTTCCCTTCAGTTGGTATAGCCTACATTATCATTCCATTATTTTGTTTACCTTCATTTGCTTCCTCTGTAAATGCTGTCACGGCCATGTGGTTGTTGCTGAGGATCATTAGTAACAGTTGATAATAAATAAAAAAAGACATGTAGGCTAATTAAATTGTTATGGAGCAGAGCGCAGACCAAGCCATAACAGTTTGAACCAGACCCATGGCACAACACTTGGCCGTGTCATCACACAGTTCCATGGTTAGCGTAGGCAATAGAGGAGGGTATAGCCTACTATTGTACACTGTTCTCCCTATTATAATTATATGTACACTAATCTTCCAACATTACTATGGGTTAAATAACTGAATGTGACAATTTTCAGAATTAATCAAACCACTGTATTTTTGATTAATCAATATATTTTGTGCATAAAGTTTTTTGATGATTCATATATACTTTCCTAAACCTAAAATTTGCCTAAATAATGTACTATACATTTTTATTTTTAAATCTACCAGTTGGTGTTAAAACGGAGACGAATATGCATATACTGTAATTAGATGGCTTTCTTTCACTGATGCCTATTTTCTGAACCCGTCTCTATGTATTCTAGTCTGTCAACAAAATTCTAATTAAAGGTACACCGTATTTAAAGGGATGGCTTAAGATAAATGTAATGAAACCCCTATTGAATGAAAACTCCATAAGAAAATCTGTTGGCCAGCAAGTGGAAGGGTTTTCAGCAGTTGATTGACATTTATTCAGCACATGCAAGGGAACCACACCTGCAAAGCCCATTATGCACCTTCAAAAGGTAAGTCAGTACTAACTACTGAGAAGTGCGTAGAAAAGGCGTGCATAAGAAAGCCGTAATCTCCTATGTCGGAATCGGCACTAAGAGTTTTGCACATTATTCTTTATTTTTTTAAGCTCTGTCAAATTGGTTGTTGATCATTACTTGACAGCCATTTTCAAGTCTTGCCATAGATTTTCAAGCCGATTTAAGTCAAAACTAACTAGGCCACTCAGGAACATTTAATGTCGTCTTGGTAAGCAACTCCTGTGTATATTTGGCCTTGTGTTTTAGGTTATTGTCCTGCTGAAAGGTGAATTTGTCTCCCAGTGTCTGTTGGAAAGCAAACTGAATCAGGTTTTCCTTTAGGATTTTGCCTGTGCTTATAGCTATATTCTGTTTATTTTTATCCCCCCCAAAAACGCCCTAGTCCTTGCCGATGACAAGCATACCCATAACATGATGCAGCCACCACCATGCTTGAAAATAATGAAGAGTCGCACTCAGTGATGTGTTGTATTTGCCCCAAACATAACGCTTTGTATTCAGGACTTAAAGTTACTTTTTTTGCCACATTTTTTGCAGTATTACTTTAGTGCCTTGTAGCAAACAGGATGCATGTTTTGGAATATTTGTATTCTGTACAGGCTTCATTCTTTTCACTCTGTAATTTAGGTTAGTATTGTGGAGTAACTAAAATGTTGTTGAGCCATTCTCAGTTCTCATATCACAACCATTAAACTCTGTAACTGTTTTAAAGTCTCCATTGGCCTCATGGTAAAATCCCTGAGCAGTTTCCTTCCTCTTCGGCAACTGAGTTAGGAAGGGCGCTGTATCTTTGTAGTGACTGGGTGTATTGATGCACCACCAAAGTGTAATTAATAACTTCACCATGCTCAAAGGGATATTCAATGTCTGCCCTTCTTTGCCAGGCATTGGAAAACCTCCCTGGTCTTTGTGGTTGAATCTGTGTTTGAAATTCACTGCTCGACTGAGGGACCTTACAGATAATAGTATGTGTGGGGTACAGAGATGAGGTAGTCATTCAACAATCATGTTAAACACTATTATTGCACACTGAGTGAGTCCATGCATCTTATGGGACTTGTTAAGCAAACGTTTACTCCTGAATTTATTTAAGCTTGCCATAACAAAGGGGTTGAATTCTTATTGACTCAAGACATTTCAGTTTTTCATTTTTAATTAATTTGTAAAAATGTCAAAAAACATAATTCAACTTCAGCATTATGGGGGTATTGTGTGCAGGCCAGTAACACAACATCTCAATTTAATCCATTTTTAAATTCAGGCTGTAACACAACAACATTTCGAAAAAGTAAAGGAGTGAGAATACTTTCTGAAGGCACTGTAGGTACTAGATACTAATCCAAAAAGTTTCAGGTATGACTGCCAAAGGTGCACCAACTAATGACATGTATTATCTAAACATCTTTTTAATACACATTTCATATTATGTATCTGAGAGGGAAACAAATATTATGGGAAACAGTATTATAGTTTGGTATTATGCGTGAACACAGTATCTGATGGGGGATCATTGTATGTTTCTGAAAGGGAATAGACCATAGAAGAAGAAGAAATACAATGTGTATGTTTGCATGCAGTTTGAAGGAAGTTGCTAACTAGCGTTAGCGCATTTGCTAACTAGAGATAGCGCAATGACTGGAAGTCTATGGTATCTACTAGCATGCCAGTAGTTAGCATATACTTCCAGTCCGTGGGCTAACACTAGACTACAGGCTATAGTCTAGTATAGCTAAACATGTTTTATAACTAAACCAAGATAGACCACAGCCCGTTGTTTCAAATTGGAACAAATGAGTCATAGTGGGCAGAACAAGCAAGGAGGTGGGCAGAGCCAAGCACGAGCTAGCGAGATCCTATTGGCGCGTTCTAGCATAATCTGCATATTTCTGTTAGGGAACGCCTCCTCTGTGAAGTGCGCGTATGCAATAACTCAATAAGCTTTTGCACTCCTTCTAAACAACGCGATTTAAATATTTTGCAAAGGGTAAGCTCTACAAAACTTAGTCCACTCTGTTCATAACATATTCTAGTTTTGGGAACAGAAAGCTGTATTGAGAGCAAATGTTTCATCAATGAGAAAATGTGCAGAATGTCGGCCAAAATCCATCTCGTTCCATCTTCTCCCACTGCTGGCCAGTGGGCTTCCTCTCACTACCATATTTGGTATTGAGTGGACACGCCAAGCGGATGCTTCACATTTATACATCCGGTGAAATGTCTGTCTCATTGTTCTATCTGTTTTGTAGCTACATACAATTTAGCATTGCCTCGCGAAACTACCTCTGTAATTTCCTTGATACTGGATGCAGAGACTCTGAGGAAGTAGATAACGGGTTTCATTGCCAAAATCCCGAAGTATCCCTTTAAAAGCCATTGCGATTATTTTTCTTTCCTCCTCTCCGGTAGAGGGAGCACTTTTAGGTTAGGGTTGGTGTTTGTTTGTTGAAGACTGCATTCTGAACTCAGGAGGATTCTTCGTGTGTATTGAACAAAATAACTGCCAGCTAGCGTGAACAACGACTGCCTAAATTCACATTTTAGTCAAGATTGGAAAGTAGCTACATTTGGCTCCCTTTCAAATTGGTAAAATAATATCCGGGTACATCATCAGTCTTCATCTGGCTGAACCTTTGTGGAGCAAGGTGCTTCTGAATAGCTAGCTAACGCGTTAGGTTGCTACAGTAGCTAGCTAGCTAAAAGGATTCAAAAGAACAACTGGTAGCTAGCTGGCTAGCCAGAAAGCCGGGGGAATCGCAGCTCCGAGGCCCGAGAGGGAGACTTCCAGGACCGCGGCTTGATGTACCCTGCCTGCCTCGCCCCAGCAGCCCACAATGGGGGAGACCAAAGTCATATATCACCTCGACGACCAGGAAACACCCTACCTGGTCAAATTGGCAGTGCCCGCGGACAGGGTCACACTTGCGGACTTCAAAAATGTTCTTAAGAAACCTAACTGCAAGTTCTTCTTCAAATCTATGGATGACGATTTTGGGTGAGCATTAATATTAGCTAGAGACTAAACAGTCTGGTAGGGTAGCTAACGTTAGCTATTCTTTCACAGATGAAATGTTAATTTGTCAAAACGGTTTGGCTAACCAACGTCTTCATGTTAATCACGGCTTGAATTTGTTATTCCTTTGTTTAACGCTCGGTAAAGTATTTTGTTTTACACAGCTAACGTTAGCTAGCTAGCTAATGTTAAACTTATACACCAAACTAGGCATCAGCGTCCATTTTCCTATTGAACAAGATTCAAGTATGGATAGTTGAGATGGTTAACTAGATAGCCTACCTATCGGTTGTATAATAGACAGAGAAGTGGCTTATATTAGGGAGAAGGCCAACAGACCACATTAATGGTCTCCTCTCTCCTGCTGCTGTTGTCAAAAAGGAATGCAGTAGACTGGTTGGTTGGACACAACGGTCGGTCACTTACTCGAGAATGCCCTGTTGTTCACTGGCAAGTTTACAAGCCAGTCCTTTGCGTGTGAAACATGTCTTGAATGGCAAAGGAACTTGTTCTCAAAATGTGTCCATGTCCCATTCGTCACTGAAAATGGCCTTAAACTTAACAGGAAGGCGCTTTGGATAGATCTTGTGTTCTTTCAGATAGTTTGGATGTTTGAAAAACACTGTACAGTGAGGGAAAAAAGTATTTGATCCCCTGCTGATTTTGTACGTTTGCCCACTGACAAAGAAATTATCAGTCTATAATTTTAATGGTAGGTTTATTTGAACAGTGAGAGACAGAATATTTAGATTATAAAATTTGACATGCGTTTTTATGGATTTTGTTGTTGTTATTCTGTGTCACTGTTCAAAAAAACCTACCATTAAAATTATAGACTGATCATGTCTTTGTCAGTTGGCAAACGTACAAAATCAGCAGGGGATCAAATACTTTGCCCCCTCACTGTATGTCAGTCATGTCAGAAATATGTTGACTACTTTTGTTGAGTAAAATGTAAAAAAGTGAAACACCTCAATGGCCTGTTATAGAGAATGGCTTAGGCCTAACTGTCTATCCGGACAGTGGGTAACTCCAAAAGGGCTTTTCCAGATTGAGCTCCTGGTAGGATACACTTGTCAGGACAGGGATTGAGTGGTTATGTATTTGATTTCAAACTGGTCTGCAATGGGACTGAATGCACCACTGTGAGATACAGTGCATTCGGAAAGTATTCAGACCCCTTCACTTTTTCCACATTTTGTTACGTTACTGCCGTATTCTAAAATTGATAAAAGTAATAAAAAATGTCCTCATCAATATACACACAATACCTCATACTGATAAATCGAAAACAGGTTTTTAGAAATGTTTTTCAACAAAAAACAAAACAGATACCTTATTTACATAAGTATTCAGACTCTTTGCTATGAGACTTGAAATTGAGCTCAGGTGCATACTGTTTCTATTGATCATCCATGAGATGTTTCTACAACTTGATTGGAGTTCACCTGTGGTAATTTTTATTGATTGGACATGATTTGGAAAGGCACATACCTGTCTATATAAGGTCCCACAGTGCATGTCAGAGCAAAAACCAAGCCATGAGGTCGAAGGAATTGTCCGTAGAGCTCCGAGACAGGATTGTGTCAAGGCACAGATCTGGGGAAGGGTACCAAAACATTTCTGCAACATTGAAAGGTCCCCAAGAACACAGTGGCCTCCATCATTCTTAAATGGAAGAAGTTTGGAACCACCAAGACTCTTCCTAGAGCTGGCCGCCAGGCCAAACTGAGCAATCGGGGGAGAAGGGCCTTGGTCAGGGAGGTGACCAAGAACCCGATGGTCACTGACAGAGCTCCAGAGTTCCTCTATGGAGATGGGAGAACCTTCCAGAAGGACAACCATCTCTGCAGCACTCCACCAATCAGGCCTTTATGGTAGAGTGGCCAGACGGAAGCCACTCCTCAGTAAAAGACAAATGACAGCCCGCTTGGAGTTTACCAAAAGGACTCTCAGACCATGAGAAACAAGATTCTCTGGTCTGATGAAACCAAGATTGAACTCTTTGGCCTGAATGCCAAGCGTCATGTCTGGAGGAAACCAGGCACCGCTCATCACCTGGTCAATACCATCCCTACGGTGAAGCATGGTGGTGGCAGCATCATGCTGTGGTGATGTTTTTCAGTGGCAGGGACTGGGAGACTAGTCAGGATCGAGGGAAAGATGAACGGAGCAAAGTACAGAGAGATCCTTGATGAAAACCTTATCCAGAGCGCTCAGGTTCACCTTCCAACAGGACAACGACCCTAAGCACATAGCCAAGACAACGCAGGAGTGGCTTTGGGACAAGTCTCTGAATGTCCTTGAGTGGCCCAGCCAGAGCCCAGACTTGAACCCGATCGAACATCTCTGGAGAGACCTACAAATAGCTGTGCAGCGACGCTCCCCATCCAACCTGACAGAGCTTGAGAGGATCTGCAGAGAAGAACGGGAGAAACTCCCCAAATACAGGTGTGCCATGCTTGTAGCGTCATACCCAAGAAGACTTGAGGCTGTAATCGCTGCCAAAGGTGCTTCAACAAAGTACTGAGTAAAGGGTCTGAATACTTATGTAAAAGTGATATTTCAGTTTTTAATTTTTAATACATTTGCAAACATTTCTAAACCTGTTTTTGCTTTGTCATTATGGGGTATTTTGTAGATTGAGGAGGGGGGGGAAACTTTTAAATCAATTTTAGAATAAGGCTGTAACGTAACAATGTGGAAAATGTCAAGGGGTCTGAATACTTTCCGAATGCACTGTGTATGTATAGAGCCATGTTCGGCCTGCTGAATCACATGCTCTATTGACACCAGGCTAAATAGGAATTTGGCACTGCATGTTTGTTTCACACACACACGACACACACGTTATTGAAAATATAAGCTTAGTAATTGAACTAGCTAGCGCAGTAATTTAACAAGATTGAGAGTGCAAAAGCTGAGAGTTAGATCTAGGCCAATATGTTTTTACCATCAACCGAATTATTACAATGTCCATGTCTTTGTGGGATATGGCCAAAGCAGAGATTTTTAGACTGTTTTACTATTGTTGGGACCGGGAGTGTTTCACCCTAGTGTCGGTGCACTCTTTACCAGCATTTGTGTACACATGTTGATTAAATGTTGTTCTCTCTTTTCCTCACAGGGTGGTGAAAGAAGAGATATCTGATGACAATGCCAAACTCCCTTGTTTTAATGGTCGTGTGGTATCTTGGGTAAGCACACACACTTCATCTTTGTCTTAAGTGTTTGTCAATGACACCCATCTGTTGTGGCTGCTATTGACCCCGAACATCACTCTGTCTCTGGGGAGGTGCCTCACCCATCTGTCTGATACTATCATTATTACTAGGGCCGGGACCATACCAGTATTGCGATACTCATTAGTATTGTGGCAAGGAAGCGGAACACGAAGTGGATTGAACTTCTTTAGGAAAACAGCCCTAATGTTGGAAACAAACATCATTATGTTGTCATCCAGAGTCACATCTAATTATTTTCCAAGCTATAGCACACTATTTTATACTGAACAAAAATATAAGCGCAACATCTAAAGTGTTGGTCCCATGTTTGATGAGGTGAAATAAAAGATCCCAGAAATTTCCCATACACACAAAAAGCTTATTTCTCTCAAATGTTGTGCACAAATGTGTTTACATCCCTGTTAGTGAGCATTTCTCCTTTGCCAAGATAATCCATCCTCTTGACAAGTGTGGCATATCAAGAAGCTGATTAAACAGTATGTTCATTACACAGGGGCATCTTGTGCTGGGGACAATAAAAGGCCACTCTAAAAGGTGCAGTTTTGTCACACAATACAATGCCATTGGCATGCTGACTGCAGGAATATCCACCAGAGCTGTTGCCAGAGAATTGAATGTTCATTCGTCTACCATAAGCCGCCTCTAACGTCGTTTTAGAGAATTTGGCAGTACGTCCAATCGGCCTCACAACCGCAGACCACATGTAACCACGCCAGCCAAGGACCTCCACACCAGGTTTCTTCACCTGCGGGATCATCTGAGACCAGCCACCCGGACAGCTGATGAAACAGAGGAGTATTTCTGTCTGTAATAATGGTGGGGGAAAAACTAATTCTGATTGGCTGGGCCTGGCTCTCCAGTGTGTGTGCCTGGCTCCCAAGTGGTGGGCCTATGCCTTCCCAGTCGTGAAATCCATATATTAGGGCCTAATGAATTTATTTCAATTGAAGGATTTCCTTATATGAGCTGTAACTCAGTAAAATTGTTGAATGTTGCGTTTTTATATTTTTGTTAAGTATACATAGAGCAGGGTTTTAAAGGACCAAAGAGTTAGATCTGCTTTGTGTTTTCATTTTTGCCATTGAAAAAATATCGCAATACTGTTATCGTCCCGGCCCTAATTACACGCACACTGGCTCTCATGCTCTTTATTTCTCATAAATCGTTTTAGCTGTCTTACAAATACACACTACTTGTTTGTTTCCAAAACTCATATATTCTCAGTACACACACAGACCAATGATCCCCTCTCTCCATGACTGAGACACCACCTTGCTTGTCCTCTTGTTCTCCATTGAGTTCTGATTAAGAGAAACTGAAATCACAGGATCATAGACATCACTCTCAAATAAAGAACTTCACTGCACCTAATGAGAAGATTGAATCACAGAGAGGGGCCAAAGAAAGACGGTGAGGAGTGAAAGGATGGTTTGTTTAAGAAGGAAATGGTGTGTGTACAGAGAAATGAGTTTTGGAGACATAAACAACTGCAGGGTTCCCCAAGTTTTCTCAGCCCAAAAAAAACACTATAAATTTTTTTATTTGTTATTATTTATTCTCATTGTTAGACATAAGACTGTACAAACACCAGGAAATCAGCTCCAAGTGATTTGAATTTAAGAAATCTGTTCCCAAGTATTCCCACGTGATTATATACAAATGTAAAGGTTTGAAATTATTATGTTTTAGTCAAACATTTCTGTTTGGGCTTCTTGCAGTCAATTTGCAGTCTACAAATTATTTGTAATTATGTTACGGCCCACCGACCATCCGCTCAAAAGGTTGACAAGAAGAAGAAAAAAGTGAGAGAGACTGAGTGTGGAGGGAGAGGGGGTAGGCCTATCTTGTTACTATAACTAGGAACATCTCTGGGCCCTAGTTATTGGCTTTATTCCATACAGTACATGGTCAGGAAAGTCATGATAGTCATCTCTGGTTATGTCTATGTATATTTATCTGTCTGTATGTGTCATTGGCTTTGTCTGTGTCTGTCTCTCTGTCTGATCAGGCTAAAGTTATTAAGTTCTAGTGAAATGTGTTTAGTATCCGGGGTGTCTGTGTCTGTCTCCTCTCCGCTTGGTCTTTGGGGCTACAGGCCTGGTTTGCTGTAAAACACATTTGTAAAAATAGCTGTATAGTGCATGCAAAAACAATTTGAGGGTGCATGATTGTTGGGGTCTCAAAGTTGGTCTGTCTATCTCTCTGTCCTCAGCTGGTGTCAGGGGATGGTACTCACTCAGACGGTGGCTCGGTGGTTGAGAGTTTGTCGGAGCTGCCGCCACCCCCCCTGGAGAGGACTGGGGGCATCGGGGACTCCAGACCACCCTCCTACCAGTTAGTTCTCTCTCAGTTGTGTGTGTGCCTGTTCAGCTGTGTGCGCAATGCACATATATTTGACTGTTTCTGTTTTATTTTTTGGGCTGTGTGTGTGTAAGAGAAGTTGTATGTGTGCTTGTGAATACGTGTGTTTCTGTCTCTCCAAGAGTCTGTATATGTCTCAGGGTGTGTTTGGAAATTCACCCTAGAGTATCAGAGTGCACTCTGGGCCGTTTGGAAATTCGGAGCGTTCAGAGTGCTATCAAAAGGGTGTTACTAGCTAGGTTTCCATACAATTAGCTACATATTTTCATGCAAATATTATAGAATCCTCTTAAAGAAAATATGCAAATGTTCCCACCAGTGCTGTATTTCCACTAAATGGACGTGTTGCGGATAAAATCGATGCGTGATGACGTAGTGCACACAATGGACTTTTTCCTTTTCATGAACTGAATAAAAATCTAAAGTCTTGGCACGTGCACTCTAGCCAACAGTTTGCAGATACTGTGCGGGTAGGATAGTCTACATGATGAGATTATTATGGATAAGAGCAAGAATATTTTTATTTGTCAAACGGCAGTCAAGCATCGATCATCATGTCACCAGAATAAGACCCTCAATATTGATTGGAAAGGAGCATCAAGATCACGTGCACTTTCACCAACCTGCGAAGTTCATCGTAATTTATTTAATCTGTAGCCTAATAAACTGCATGATTTCCTGAGTCGCAGTGGGAGGACCACACACCATATCATCGCTTGACTCCAAGTTTACTTCGATATGGTGGTTATTCTATCAATATTTGCGCATAAAGGCATTTCCACCGCCATTTCCCGCATAATTAATTTTACAGGCACAAAAACATCCCACCATGTCGAAAGAACAAATTACCTGTCGGCATGTAACATTTTTACCAGAACTTCCTGTTTCCATCACAGCTGTCGTGATTATAAAAAAATTAAAAAACGGTATGACTTTAAACTGTGGATGGAAACGTGCTTACTGGCCATATATACAGTACCAGTCAAAAGTTTGGACACACCTACTCATGCCAGGGTCCTTTAGTAGTGGTTTATTTGCAGCAATTCGACCATGAAGGTCTGATTCACACAGTCTCCTCTGAACAGTTGATGTTGAGATGTCTGTTACTTGAACTCTGTGAAGCATTTATTTGGGCTGCAATTTCTGAGGCTGGTATCTCTAATGAACTTATCCTCTGCAGCAGAGGTAACTCTGGGTCTTCCTTTCCTGTGGCGGTCCTCATGAGAGCAAGTTTCATCATAGCGCTTGATGGTTTTTGCGACTGCACTTGAAGAAACTTTCAAAGTTCTTGAAATGTTCCGTATTGACTGACCTTCATGTCTTAAAGTAATGATGGACTGTCATTTCTCTTTGCTTATTTGAGCTGTTCTTGCCATAATATGGACTTGGTCATTTACCAAATAGGGCTATCTTCTGTATACCCCCCTACCTTGTCACAACACAACTGATTTGCTCAAATGCATTAAGAAGGAAATAAATTCCACAAATTAACTTTTAAGAAGGCACACCTGTTAATTGAAATGCATGACTACCTCATGAAGCTGGTTGAGAGAATGCCAAGAGTGTGCAAAGCTGTCATCAAGGCAAAGGGTGGCTACTTTGAAGAATCTCAAATATGAAATATATTTTGATTTGTTTAACACTTTTTTTTTGCTTACTACATGATTCCATATGTGTTATTTCATAGTTTTGATGTCTTCACTATTATTCTACAATGTAGAAAATAGTAAAGATAAACCCTTGAATGAGTAGGTGTTCTAAAACTGTTTACCAGTAGAGTGTGTGTATATATATATATATATATATATAATCATTATTATTATTTATTTATTTAGCCAATGTTTACTTACACCTGTCATAACAACCGATTTTATGGCGTTCGTAAATTCCTTAATTATTCTGTGCTCTGGCACTCTCAAACCAGCTCTGAAATCGGTGTAGATTGACAGGGTGAAATGTACGAATGCACCCTTAAAGAATAATATATCCTTTGTGCTTCTAACATCTGCCTAATAACCATGAAAACAGTGAGCACAACTACTTGCTCAATGGAAAAATTATTACTTTTGTTTCCTCACTCCTTTCCTCCCTCCTTTTCTCTCTCCCGCTCTCAATTTCTCCCCCCGCCCCCCTCCCTCATCCTTTTCTCCATCCGTTTCTCCATGTCGCACTGCAGTGGGAAGGCCACAGGTGGACGAGACTCGTTGGACAACGAGACTGAGACGGGCTCGATGGTGTCCCAGAGGAGGGAGAGGGAGCGACCGCGCCGGAAACCCACTCACCAGCCCGGTCAGAGAGCAGTCTGTCCCCTCCACTCCTCTCTGTAGTCACTCACTCAGCATTTTTCTTTCGCTCCTCTTTGACATTCTCTCTTAACTATACTGTCCAGTTCCTAGTGGAAGATGTGACAAATGACTGTTTTTGGATAGGTGTGTATTCCACCAAGCCTATCAAGAGGCAATGGGGAGCTATTAGCACCATTTAAACCTATCCAGCTTTATACTTATCCAAACGACATGAAGTTCCTAGGGACTGGGCCTGTAGCGTGGGCCCTTTCACTGAGTGCCGTGTTGCCCCCTGCAGGTGGGAGGAACGGTTACTCGCGGGTGGGCCGAGGGGCGGAGCTGAGCCAATACGACAGCTGCTCCTCCTTCATGAGCAGCGAGCTGGAGTCCACCAGCTGCTTCGACTCTGAGGATGACGACGCCACCAGCCGGTGAGGCCCTCCTAACCGTCACGCAACGTTTGCCTAACCTCCACTTTCCTGCCTCCTTCCAGTGGGAACATTTGCCTTATGTCTACTGTGACCCTTTTGGGCTTTCTCCCCCCAGCTTCAGCAGTTCCACAGAGCAGAGCTCCTCTCGCCTAATGAGGCGACACCGCCGGCGCCGGCGGAAACCTAAAACGTCCAACATGGAAAGGGTGAGCTGGGCAGACACACCCACAGTATTTTGATATGTAAATGACCTTACCCCTCTCGTCACACTTCTTTTTCTCCCGCTCTTCTTTCTTTGTAGTCGTCATCATTCAGCAGCATCACAGACTCCACCATGTCACTGAACATCATCACTGTCACTCTGAACATGGGTAAGTATTTCTGTTCATGTATTTCTCACTTTTCCTGATAAATTGTAATAAAGCTTTGCATAGTCCTCTCTGTTTGTAGTTCTCAATGCAATGTTGAAAACTGGAATATGAACTAATTAACTACAAATATGAAGTAAAAATCCTACACTCCCTTTTTTCTATCTGTCTATCTCCTCTGTAGAGAAGTATAACTTCCTGGGCATCAGCATCGTGGGGCAGAGCAATGAGAGGGGCGACGGAGGCATCTACATCGGCTCCATCATGAAAGGAGGGGCGGTGGCCGCAGACGGGCGCATCGAGCCTGGAGACATGCTACTGCAGGTGTGTGTGTGGACATTAGAGCAGGGTGATCAAGCAGTTGAAATCAGGGTTGAGTTCATGAGGGTGGAACTACCTGAAAATGTCCAATAAGAAATGCTTGTTTTTGTTTTCCTGAGCAAAACAATTTGCTACGGTGAAGCCTAATGAGTACGAACCAGATCAGACAGAGATTCTCCTCACTCCTAACAGGTGAACGACATCAACTTTGAGAACATGAACAACGATGATGCGGTTCGAGTGCTGAGGGACATCGTACACAAGCCAGGGTGAGTCTCACACACATACACACACCTGTGTTATTTCACACACACATTTACAAACACACACACAAGTTGCTACCACATCAGTCTTATGACATAGAAAGAATGTTGTATTTTATATTTCACTTTATCTTTGGGATTGTATTCCATCTGTAAAAAGTCAGGTGTAAGTTTAGCAGCTTTGCCTTATAAACGTCTCCCTGTGTGTGGTGTGTGCATTGCCAGCTCTGTGTTAACTGTGTGTGTGTGTGTGTGTGTGTGTGTGTGTGTAAACTCTGTTTACAGCCCTATCACTCTGACTGTGGCTAAGTGCTGGGACCCCAACCCCCGGAGCTGCTTTGCTCTGCCGAGAAGTGAGTATTCACCTGCTGTGTCTTCCTCACACAACACGCCCACTAAAAATATGTTCATGTTTGTGAATATTTGTGGTTGTTTTATGGATAGATTTGTGTGATTTGTGAAGTCTGTGTACGATGTCCCTCTAACCCATCTTTTCTCCCACCAGGTGAGCCGATCCGGCCCATTGACCCTGCTGCGTGGGTTTCCCACACTGCTGCGATGACAGGGGTGTACCCTGCCTATGGCATGAGTCCCTCCATGACCACGGTCACCTCCACCAGCTCCTCCATCAGCAGCTCCATCCCTGAGACTGAACGTGAGTCACACACCTATACCTGGGTCCTGTCAAAACTCATTAAAACACTCTAAAATAACTCTTGCTTTATTGCGTCATGAAGCAATCTACAGTTGAGGACAGTCTAGTATGCGAACGAGCTCATAATGTGATGCCTTTTAACAAGTTCTGCTAATCTGTGAAAGGAACCCACAACTGTCATACCGTGGAAAACCTGCATCCTAACAAAAGGTTCCCACTGTCCCATTCTAAACCTGTAAGCCATTATACATTCCCTGGCTAAACCCAGTAACCCACACCTCCCATTTGCTCCTCACAGGCTTCGACGATTTCCACCTGTCCATCCACAGCGACATGGCAACCGTTGCCAAGGCCATGGCTTCCCCGGAGTCGGGCCTGGAGGTCCGAGACAGGATGTGGCTAAAGATCACCATCGCCAACGCCTTCATAGGTATGCTCACTCTCTTTTCCTCTTTCTGTCTCTCTCCCTTTATCTACCTCTTTCTCCATCTACCCCTCTACCTCTCTCTCACTGTCTATCTTCCTGTCCTCCGGTCTTTCACTTTCTCCTTTTTGTCTAAATGTCTTTCTATATTCCCCTTTTTATAAGCCTTGTCTCTTTTGCAGGTTAATTGCCATTGAATGTGTATGTTTGTGTCTAGACTCGTGTTGTGTGTCTGTCTCCCCAGGCTCAGACGTGGTGGACTGGCTCTTCCATCACGTGGAGGGCTTCTCAGACCGCAGGGAAGCCAGGAAGTATGCCAGTAACCTGCTCAAAGCCGGCTACATCCGCCACACCGTCAACAAGATCACCTTCTCCGAGCAGTGCTACTACATCTTCGGAGACCTCTGTGGCAGTGAGTGCTTTCACTATATTGTCATTATATTTCCTAGTTTGAAAACAACCCCTAGTCCCTAGCCCAAAACTGCAACATGAATGTTCTTGACAACTCTTTCTCTCTCTCAGACATGACGCACCTATCTCTGCAAGACCACGACGGCTCCAGCGGAGGGGCGTCAGACCAGGACACCCTGCCCCCTCTGCCACACCCTGGGGCAGCCCTCTGGCCCATGGCACTACCCTACCAGTTCCCCATCGCCCACCCCTACAACCCCCAGCCCCAACACGACCTGCCCCAGGGCTTCCCGGGAGTAGGGGCGGGCAGCGCCGGCAGCCAGCACAGCGACGGTGAGGAAATCTGGGACTCACCAGCAGAATTCAATCAAACCCAGACACTGAGAGAGAGAGGGAACTAGTTTCAGTTAACCAACACTACAGCCTAGGACAATGCAACACTTTGAGTTAACTCGAATTGTAAAAAATAATCATAATACTATTGTAACAATATTTTCTGTTGATTTAAAAGCTATTGAGCTATTTATCTGCTGCATTTGAACTTATTGGCCAGTCAATATCAATGGGTATGTGTTGGCCCAGGCATGAATCAGCACTACCATGCCTGACTTGAAAATAAATGATATAGAAAAACTTGAAAAGGAGATTTTAAGATTATACAGGAGTGTTGCCCTAATGGATATATTGAAATTAATTTATCTAGAAGTCGCACACAGCAAAGCCAGAACGTACACACAGTCAATCATATAAAACATTTGCAGTCATGTATGAAGGACAAATAGTTGGATATTAACTCACTTTCTGTTTGTTTTCCTCCCCTGTCTCCAGGCAGCAGCGGCTCCAACTGCAGTAAGACCGAGGGCAGAGGCGGTGCCGGGGGCTCCAACAAGTCGGGCGGTAGTGGCAGCGAATCAGAGATCAGGAGCCATCGGGCCCCCAGCGAGCGCTCTGTGGCCCCTAGCGAGCGCAGTGTCCGCAGTTCCTACAGCCATCGAAGCGCCCACTCACTGTCCTACGGCCCCGGCATGGTCTACGCCCCCCCAGGCCTGCCCCCTCAGCCCCTCCACCTGGCCACAGCTGCCCCCGGAGCCCCCCCAGGCCGAGAGCTGGCCAACGCTCCCCCAGAGCTCACCGGCTCCCGCCAGTCCCTGCGCATGGCCGTTGGCAACCCTGGCGAGTTCTTTGTCGATGTCATGTGACTCAGGTCATGTCATAGGCACACCACAAAATGGTGGATAGTCATTTTTTTGTTGAGTGCTGAGAGGGACAGGAGGAGGAAGTCTCTAGAAAAGCATTGTTGGGGTCAATTCCTTTTCCTTTTGAATTGGCAGCATTAAAATGGAATTGAGCCCAACCCTGCTGGAAATGACCTCTCTTACTCTTCTGCTCTACTTTCTTCAGTGAAGAACCCCCCACCCCCCAAATGGAACCAAAGCGCCTTTTGTCAGTTTCCTCCCTGTGAGTTGTGTTTGGGTCATGACAGGGAGGGAGGCTGGGGAAACAGCTGAGGATGACTCTGTGCTTTTCGACGTGGATGTTTTCCATTTGTTCTTTTCTGTCTTTCCTCTCCTTATCTGCACGTCCTCCCCAACCCCAGTCCACCAGAGACGACATTTTAAAAGCCTCCTCCCTCCATACATTCTTTCACCTAAAATGGCCCCTTAACAACAGATTATGTTTGCAAAGTGAAAGAAATAGAAAATTAACACTAACCTTACATTGACTTTTGTTTGTATGACTTTGTATGACTATGAAAATGTAGTGCAAGAGAATTGATGCCCTTTCTGTTCTCTTGTGTTTATCATAGCTGGTTGCAGATACATGTAGTTTATTTTTCAACACTGAGCTTCCAGTTTAGACTCATTGTTAAAGTACATTTGTCTGTTAACCAGAGATATATTTGTGTCTCTGTCTTGCGATAATGTGGAGTGGAGAAAAAACGGTTTCTTACCAACTCTACTCTTTTATTGAGAAATGGGTTTTTATTTATAGATATAGTTTTATGACTTTAATGTTTTGTGTGTGTGTGCGCGCGCAAGAAACCTGAGGAAGGACATTATTTGCACTTTAAAGCAAGCAAGGAATTCCGTGTGTGAGAGCGAGAGAGAGAAAATGTGTGTTTAAGCTTCCTTTTAACTGGTTGATCCACTGCATTAAAAAGCTTCCAAATGTAGAGGTCTGGATATGATGACACTTTATAAAGGGAAAATGATAAGGGAGCATGACTTGATGATGCAGTTCCAGGATACATATTTTGAGATGAAATTGGTAGGTCTGCTGTAGCTTCATATATGGAACTGATGTGGAATCCTTATATTATGTAGGGACACAATTGAATGTTCAGGAAACAAAATATTGATTTTGATATCCTAATGCAGTAGACAAAATAAATGACCAATGTGTTTATCTTCAGGGTGCGGTTTGCCTGTTCCCAGTTCAATTCAACCGTGCCTTTTTCCAATGGTATCCAGCTGCAGCACCGCAGTAGCCTGTGACAAACTAGCCTGCCACTAAAACCAATACTATCGCCATCTACTGACCGTAGTTAATCCCTACCATTTACATTTTAGTCATTTAGCAGACGCTCTTATCCAGAGCGACTTACAGTTAGTGAATACATTTTTATTTTATTTTTTCATACTGGCCCCCTGTGGGAATCTAACCCACAACCCTGGCATTGCAAATGCCATGCTCTACCAACTGAGCTACATCCCTGCCGGCCATTCCCTCCCCTACCCTGGACGACGCTGGGCCAATTTTGCGCCGCCCCATGGGTCTCCCAGTCGCGGCCGGCTACGACAGAGCCTGGATTCGAACCAGGATCTCTAGTGGCACAGCTAGCACTGCGATGCAGTGCCTTAGACCACTGCGCCACTCGGGAGACCTAGTGTGAACTCCTACCACATGTGAACTCCTTTTCTTTCCTAGATTGCTTTCCTCTCTCCCTTTCCGTTCCTCCTTTCCTAGCTTCCTCGGCGCTGAGGAGGGCGCATGTCTCGCCGGTTCCTGCTCAACGTAGCTTTTTTTTATTGCTATTTTTGCGTTAATTCTTACTTTATTTGCTCAGTGTTCATGCAATAATTTACTACGACCTACAAACATTTCTGGATCATGAATTGGAAGCTACACACTTATCACTACGCCTCCCAGATCTGGAATACTACATTTGCCCCTTTGTTCCCTGCACAGTGTGCTTACCTGTTGCTGCTGACCAAGATGACTGAAGAAGAGAAATGAAAGGGGGACTCCAAGCTTGGCTGAAAAGACAGGCTACACAGCCTCCTCTTCATGGTATCCTGATGGCTAATGTCCAGTCACTGGAAAATAAACTTTGAACTCAGAGAAAGGCTTCAATCGCAGCGGGACATCAGGGAATGCTGTGTCTGTTTTTACAGAGACATGGCTTACGGACGATACACTCTCCTCTGCTATTCAACCAGATGGCTATTCCATTTCCCGAATGGATCGAACGGCAGCTTCTGGAAACAGTAGGCGGTGAGGGTTGTTTCCTCATTAACAATTCCTGGTGTACAGTGGTTGAAAACATCTGGAGTTCCTGTTCACCCGACCTGGAGTTTCTGATGCTAAAATAACGACCCCACTATATACTGAGGGAATTCACGTGTGTTATTATTACAGATGTGTATACACTGCCACAAGCAAACACCAAGGCGGCACTCTGCGAACTGAACAAGATCATTAGCCAGCAAGAATCCTCTCACCCGGAAGCAGTCTTTATTGTCGCGGGTGATTTAAACCGTTTAAAACACATTTTTCTGAAATATCACCAACATGTATCCTGCCCCACAATAGTGCTTGACCATCTACAGTATATAGCTGACAACGTCACGAAAACTATGCGCACGCTTCAATGGGTCAGAAGTCTGTGTTGTTCTGATTCTGGATGGCCAGATAGCTAGCAACAATGACAAGAAGCTGCCACGTGGGGAATCGTAGGTGGCTCGTTTCAGCTAGTTTTATCTTGCGTCTGCTAAATGGCATATTATTATTATATTATTATATCTTGTTCTTGATACCATGTTATTGACTGATGTCATGCTATATTGAACACAAATATAAACCCAACATAAAACAATTTCAACAATTTTACTGAGTTACAGTTCATAAGGAAATCAGTCAATTTAATGAATTAAATTAATTTGGCCCTAATCTATGGATTTCACATCAAGGGCGCAGCCATGGGTGATCCTGGGAAGGCATAGGCCCACCACTTGGGAGCCAGGCCCACCCACTGGGGAGCCAGACCCAGCCAATCAGAATTAGTTCTTCCCCACAAAAGGGCTTTATTACATACAGATATACTCTGCAGTTTCATCAGCTGTCCGGGTGGCTGGTCTCAGACAATCCCGCAGGTGAAGAAGCCAGAGGTCCTGGGCTGGTTTGGTTAGACGTGGTCTGCGGTTGTGAGGCTGGTTGGATGTAGTGCCAAATCCTCTAAAATGACGTTGGAGGCGGCTTATGGCAGATAAATTAACGTTCATATCTGGCAACAGCTCTGGTGGACATTCCAGCAGTCAGCATACCAATTGCATACTCCCTCATAACTTGTGGCCTTTTATTGTCCCCAGCACAAGGTGCCCCTGTGTAATGATCATGCTGTTTAATCAGCTTCTTGATATACCACACCTGTCAGGTGGATGGATTATCTTGGCAAAGGAGAAATGCTCACTAAAAAGGATGTAAGCAAATGTGTGCACAACATCTTTGAGAATTTTTTTATGCGTATGGAACATTTCTGGGATTTTTATTTCACCTCATGAAACTTGGGACCAAAACTTTACATGTTGAGTTTATATTTTTGTTCAGTATAATATGGAAAGAATGTGCTAGCTAGCTAACCAATAACGGTAACGATGTATGTGAGAGTCAAGTGCTCATTGTAAAATGTATTGATGTTTTCAATAAACATTGGAGACTAAATATACACTACATGACCTGCTTGTTGAACATCTAATTCCAAAATCATGGGAGTTAATATGGAGTTGGTCCTCCCTTTGCTGCTATAACAGCCTCCACTCTTCTGGGAAGCCTTTCCACTAGATGTTGGAACATTGCTGCGGGGACTTGCATCCATTCAGCCACAAGAGCATTAGTGAGGTCGGGCACTGATGTTGGGCGATTAGGCCTGGCTCACAGTCTGTGTTCCAATTCATCCCAAAGGTGTTCGATGGGGTTGAGGTCAGGGCTCTGTGCAGGCTAGTCAAGTTCTTCCACACCGATCGCGACAATCCATTTATGTATGGACCTTGCTTTGTGCACAGGGACATTGTCATGCTGAAACAGGAAAGGGCCTTCCCCAAACTGTTGCCACAAAGTTGGAAGCACAGAATCGTCTGTTGGAAGCACAGAATGTAATTGTATGCTGTAGTGTTATGATTTCCCTTCACTGGAACTAAGGGGCCTAGCCCGAACCATGAAGAACAGTCCCAGACCATTATTCCTCCTCCACCAAACTTTACCTGCTTTCGGGCACGTAGCGTTCTCCTGGCATCTGCCAAACCCAGATTCGTCCGTCGGACTGCCAGATGGTGTAGCGTGATTCATCACTCCAGAGAACGTGTTTCCACTGCTCCAGAGTCCAATGGCGGCGAGCTTTACACCACACCAGCCGACGCTTGGCATTGCGCATGGTGATCTTAGGCTTGCGTGCGGCTGCTCGGCCATGGAAACCCATTTCATGAAGCTCACGACAAACAGTTATTGTGCTGACGTTGCTTCCAGAGGCAGTTTGGAACTCGGTAGTGAGTGTTGCAACCGAGGACAGACGATTATTACGCGCTACCGTTCTGTGACCTTGTGTGGCCTACCACTTTGCGGCTGAGCTGTTGTTGCTCCTATAAGTTTCCACATCACAATAACAGCACTTACAGTTGACCGGGGCAGCTCTAGCAGGGCAGATATTTGATGAACTTGTTGGAAAGGTGGCATCCTATGACGGTGCCATGTTGAAAGTCACTGAGCTCTTCAGTAAGGCCATTATACTGCCAATGTTTGTCTATGGAGATTGGATGGCTGTGTGCTTGATTTTATACACCTGTCAGCAACGAGTGTGGCTGAAATAGCTGAATCCACTAATTTGAAGGGGTGTCCACATACTTTTGTAAATATAGTGTACACTGAGTATACCAAAATCAGGAACACCTTAATATTGAGTTTCCCTCTCCCCTTTTTGCCCTCAGAACAGCCTCAATCCGTCGGGGCGTGGACTCTACAAGGTGTCGAGAGTGTTCCACAGGGATGCTGGCCCATGTTGACTCCACTGCTTCCCACAGTTGTGTCAAGTTGACTGGATGTCCTTTGGGTGGTGGACCATTCTTGATACACACGGGAAACTGTTGA